GATTTGTGAGAAGTTAAGTGCTTCAGAAATTGGGTTTGAGAGACCTTAGGTACTTGAAGATTTAGATTTTTGAAGGATTTAGGTATTCGAGATTTTGGGTTCGAGGCGTATGAGGTATTCGAGAGCTTAGATTTTAGAATATTTAGGCATTCGGGAATTTAGGTTTCGGGATCCTCAGGTACTTGAGAATATTTCGATTCTGCGATCCTTAGGCACTCGAGAATTTGGATTTCAGGATCCTTAGGCACTCGAGAGCTGAAATTCTGCGATCCTTAGGCACTCGAGAGCTTATATTCTGCGATCCTGAAATTCTCGAGAGAGCTTAGATCCTCCAATCCTTAAGCACTCGAGAATTTTGATTCTGCGATCCTTAGGCACTCGAGAGCTGAAATTCTGCGATCCTTAGGCACTCGAGAGCTTAGATTCTGCGATCCTTAGGCACTCGAGAGCTTATATTCTGCGATCCTGAAATTCTCGAGAGAGAGCTTAGATCCTCCAATCCTTAGGCACTCGAGAATTTTGAATTCAGGATCCTTAGGCACTCGAGAGCTGAAATTCTGCAATCCTTAAGCACTCGAGAGCTTAGATTCTGCGATCCTTAGGCACTCGAGAGCTTATATTCTGCGATCCTGAAATTCTCGAGAGAGCTTAGATTCTCCAATCCTTAGACACTCGAGAATTTTGATTCTGCGGTCCTTAGGCACTCGGGAGCTTAGATTCTACGATCCTTAGGCACTCCAGAGCTCAAATTTTGCGATCTTTAAATACTCGAGAGAGCTTAGATTCTCCAAACCTTAGGCACTCGAGAATCTGGATTCTGCGATCCTTAGGCACTCGAGAATCTGGATTCTGCGATCCTTAGGCACTCCAGAATTAAAATTCCAAGATCCTCGGACACTCGAGAACTTGAATTCCAGGATTTTCAGACACTCGAAAGCTCATATAACAAAGAAATTTACTTACTCGAGAACATATACCTGAAATTCCCCATGCACACGTAAATTTACCTTCTAATCTTCCGGGATTCTGCAAAATTTAATTCGTCAGCGCTAGAATCATCACTGATAAAAAAAAAAAGGAAGGAAAAGAACACGTTCAGAATTGTCTCACGTTTCTCGTTGATGCAATCAGCATGAACCAGAATATTCACGTTCTCAAACACGTTAACGCGCAACACCGTGGAAACTTATTATTCATCTTACTAATAGCTCGTGAAAACAAACATCGAACGACTCTACTACAAATCGATTCGCGATGCTTATGAATAATTCACCAACTACGATCGTGTCCCATCCAGCAAACGATGCGACTCCTTTTTCAACGAATCATAACAATCAGCCCACTCTGCTATTATCGCAATGAATCACGCGTGTCTCGAAACACATACCAACTAAACGTTCGTCGAAATTATTCTCGAAACTCTCGATAGCACTACAATTCTCGATCTACGTAGCGGTAAAAAATTGTGCCAAAAAGAAGAAAAACAGAAAATAAATCTGAACAATGGGACACAGCTGAAGGCTAGAGCGAAAAGGATGTTTGCGCAAGTTCTTCTTCCAGCCTGTGATATATTCGAATTCATTATCCAAGCTGCTCGCCCCGCTAATTGGTATTTGAAGTAACGCGAAATCATCGTCAGGTTTCCTCGGGTTAACGCGGAAGTGTCGTCGTCTTCTAATGAAAATTTCCCTTCCTCTGTTTTCAGCCTATTCCGGACGAACGCCGCCGACGAGGATACTCGAGGAGAGAAGAGAGCAAGAGAAGTGAATAGGCGAAGAGAAAAGGAAGTGTGGGGAGAGTCGAGAAGAAGAAGTGTTGGGCGAAAGTGAAAAGAGGATAAAGTTGGAGAGAGAATCGCCACTGGGTTGGCTGGCTTCATTTTTGTTCCCGCGGATTATGGAACAAGGACAAGACGTAAAAATGGTGAAAAGTTCAGCTGACTACGTGAAGGCCATCGAGAGCGGTGTGCAACCAACTCAGGTGACTAGGACGATTCTCACCGCGGAATGGAAATTAATCCTGACGATTGATTTATTTTAGCGAAAATTGTACCTCGTTTATTTTGTGTTGATTAAATAAACTCTTGAGAAGTAACGATGCTTGGTTGGTGCTCTCTCTCTCTTTGCGATCAAGAGCGAGTGAGGAGATCTAGGTGCGAGAGAACTTGGGTTCAGGGGACTCCGGGTACAAGGGGACTTGAGTTCGAAGGGTTATAGGTGCGAGGGGACTTAGAAATGTGGGTAACTCAGGTACTCGAGGCATTTGGGAATAAGGGAATTTAGGTACAGTGGACTATTTTGGATTTGTGGAGTCCTGGGTGCAAGGGAAATTAGGTACAACGTAACTTAGGTGTCAGGGAATATTTGAGGATTCTTAGGTACTCGGGAATTTAGACTTCAGGGTCTTTAGGCACTGGAGAGCTTGGATTTCAGGATCTTTAGGCACTCGCGAGTTTAAATTCTGCGATCCTTAGGCACTCGAGAGTTTAAATTCTGCGATCCTTAGGCACTCGAGAGTTTAAATTCTGCGATCCTTAGGCACTCGAGAGTTTAAATTCTGCGATCCTTAGGCACTCGAGAATTTAAATTCTGCGATCCTTAGGCACTCGAGAATTTGGATTCTGCGATCCTTAGGCTCTCGAAAGCTTAGATTTTTCGATCCTTAAGCACTCGAGAGCTTAGATTTCAGGATCCTCAGGCACTCGAGAATTTAGATTCCACGATCCTTAGGTACTCAAGAACCTTCGTAACGGAAAAACCTTTCGATTCCAGGTGACTGAAACGAAGGTGTACAAGCGACGATGGCTGATCCTGATGATCTTCGTGCTTTACAGCGCGAGCAACGCGATGCAATGGATCCAATACAGCATCATTGCGAACATTGTAATGTTTTATTACCAGGTGTCCGATATGATGGTGGACATGACCAGTCTGATATACATGATAACCTATATTCCTCTCATCTTTCCAGCCAGTTATCTACTCGACAGATTCGTAAGTGCAATCGATACAAATTTTTTACTTTTTCACTTTTTCAACAATTATCTCCGTATAAATTCGACGTGTTTAAAACATTATTATCGTCGTTTAGCACGTTAACAAGCGATTCAATATTTACGCAAACATCTCGAATCGATTAATTTTAGGTAGATCCCAATTTTTAATCTAATCTACTTTCGCTATCGAGTCCGATATATCCCGCCAGATGTACGTTAAAATCATGATTTCTCGTTGCTCTCGTTGCATTTAGAAGGCCGTTGATAAACGAACCAAGGAGAAATAGCTGCGGAACGGAATGCAAACAGATTCCATTCGATACCGATGTTTTTGTCAAACACCACGATGATTAATCCAATTTTTTCAATTTCTAATTTATCCGGCATTCTTCGCGTATTTTTCGCGAGAAGTCGAAATACTGTTTCTTTCTTTTTTTGCGAAGCAACACACACGCTGACTTCATTTTCATAAAAGTTCGCAAACGTACGTGGCGGGCTTATCGAACCACGAGAGATCATTCTCTAATTCGTATAAATTATAAGAAATAAAATGTTGCTTTATTCGATCTTGTTTCCGTTCGTAATCTTCTAAGGCAACGATCTTGATAACGACGATATAGTAACTTGGCACTCGATGCAGATACAGCTGTATCAACAGCTGTCCATCTACATTTGCAATTACAAAATAACACTTTATCGAGCGCATGTTTGCAAACAGGTAATTCTCGTTCTCTTATCTCCCGAGAATTACGACACCAGTCGAATGTGCACTGAAACACTGTTTTTCTTTTATTTTAGTACCTGTACTACACCTCTTTCGCTATTATTATACACACTTGTGTATATTTTTTCTAATCAATTTCGAAGGTGGTCGACGTTCTGAAAATTACAGTATCAGTGGAATATTTATATTTTTTTGTACTATGCTATTTTAGTATTGTAGGAACAACCGAGGAAAAATTGGAGGGATTCGAACGGAAATGAAATCCGCGACCTGCGGCTGCCAAGCCGAGACGCTAAAACTATACTACGCACTCTTTATTTTTTCTCGTCGGTTCCCTATTTGAGCATGGAGGCCCCGATTGTGTACTATTATTCTACGTCCGCTTACGATCTCTCTGTAAAAAGGGAAATCACAGCAATCGACTGCACTCTTTTCAACGTTTCCATAAAAAACAGATTTCATTTCTTTTAATATTTCCATAGCGAACGAATTTTCATCGATTTCATTTCTTTCAGAATTTCCACAGCGAACGAATTTTCATCGCTTTCATTTCTTTCAGAATTTCCACAGCGAACGAATTTTCATCGATTTCATTAGTTTCCACTTTTCCATAGCGAACGAATTTTCATCGATTTCATTAGTTTCCACTTTTCCATAGCGAACGAATTTTCATCGATTTCATTCGTTTCTACTTTTCCATAGCGGACGAATTTTCATCGATTTCATTTCTTTCAAAATTTCCACAGCGAACGAATTTTCATCGATTTCATTAGTTTCCACTTTACCATAGCGAATGAATTTTCATCGATTTCATTTCTTTCAAAATTTCCACAGCAAACGAATTTTCATCGATTTCATTCGTTTCCACTTTTCCATAGCGAACGAATTTTCATCGATTTCATT